GTCTCAAATTGAAAGAAAAGGAAAAAAAGGGGATACAATTTTATTTTTACTACCCAAATTTTTATTTATTTATTACTCTAATTCCAAAGTAATCAATCGACATTAAGGAGGGTGTATTCAATTGAGACTTTTAAGGACTTTTTAAAACTTTTTAAATTTGATGACTTTTGTGGACTTTGTAAAACTTTCATGACTTTGGTGGACTTTTTGAGACTTTCAGAGAATTTTCATCAGTGACTTTTTAAGACTTTCATAATAAACTTTTTAAAACTTATTGAGAATTTTATATACTTGCAGTTATAATATTATGTTTGAATAAAATATTAATAAACGTAACAAAATAACTAATATAAACAAGAATAAATGAAAAAACAAAAAGATGTTGTATATATTAATCCTCTAAAAATTTATGAATAAACTCATTTTTATGCGACATGAGTTATTCACGAACAAATTGTTTAGGATTTTAGATTTATTAAACGAGTAAATCGATCCGAGTTTCAACGAGTCGAATCGAGTAGGGCCTTATATTTGTTTGTTAAAAGAGTACAAGGTCAAGTATGTGTGAGACATATCTACTATAACGACACTTATAATCAACTCAAATTAAGATATATTTATTTAATTATTTATTGATTTTATTTTGTATATTTTTTGCATAATGTTGTTATATTAGAAAAATATTATTAGGTTATATTTTTACAAGATACAAACATGCCGAAAACAGTAATTGTATCTTATAAAATTATCAATAATATTCAAACATTTCAATATTAACAAATAAACTATTTGAAAATAATTTTTTTTTTTTAATATTTTGAAATAAACATTTACAAATAAAAAGAAAGAACAAATAAATTATTTGCAAGTGCAACTATGGAAGCATTAACCTTTGAAAAGTCAAATTCACAAGATAGCAAAATGAGAGAATAAGGTATACACACATAAAATAAGCATAATAAAGAATATATAAAATAAAAAGATCACAATAATATGTAATGAAAATAAAACTTACACAAGGTATCAAAATAAATAAGTAAAATAATAGAGCATGAAAATGATATGGGATACAAAGTCGTGTTAGAAAGAAAAAAAAAAGAGCGTGAAAAGAGTCACATAAGTCCAGCAAAATCTCACCAATATTGATGAGATTTCTGTTGAGACTTTTCCTTTGTAATTTTGTTACAAAAGTCTCCAAAAGTCTCAAAATTTAAAAAGTCTCACAAAGTCTTTCTGTTTTGAATATATGGTGACTTATAAAGACTCTGAGAATGTTTTAATCGAATACCCTGAGACTTTTAGAGACTTATTAAAAGTCATTAAAAGTCTCAATTGAATACATGTAAACTTTTCAGAAGTCTTTAAAAGTTCTAATTGAATACACCAGAATTCTAAAAGTCTTAAAAAATCTCTAAAAGTTGCAATTGAATACAACCCCCTAAATTTGAACAAATATTAACAAGAAATAATGACACCGCATATCTCTTTGTATAGACAGTTTATATATTTAACCCCACTTATTATTTAGACAAAATTACTCTTTCTGTTTTTCAAATATACTCTTTACATAGTTTTTAATGTTTGGCGGTTTTTTAGTTTTATATCTTTATTATTATTTCTTTTTCACTTTACATAGTTTTTTATTGTAATTATAAATGGTCACGTCTTTTAAGGTGGGCTTCTAACAGTTTCTTTTTTAGAGAACTGCTTTATTCTTGCCTGACGTTTCTAATATCCTTATGTTCCTTTTATCTTCATTATTTTTTGCCTTATACTTTTCTTCTAAATTTTTATTCTATGTTTCATATATCCTTCTGTTCTTTGATTTCTTCTACTTTGCTTTTTTTT